GACCGTGAGCGCCGGGCTGCGGGCGGGCGGGCGGCAGGGCCTCTCCGCTGTGAGACCTTGGGCTGCGCAAGCGACTGGCCTGACTCCGCTCTCCTGGCTTCCAGGCAGTGTACCAGTTCCCCGACCAGGTGTGGCACCTGCAGCTCCTGGCCCTTCGCAGGGCGCTCTACGTTCTGTGCGCCCGGAGGGGAATCTACTGCTTGTCATTGGCACCTCCGACAAGGTAAGGGATGATCGTGGCTCACATGTGCCCAGCCCGCCCGATGCCGTGCCCTCCGTGAGGCCAGCGTGGCCTCCACGGCGTCGACTTCTTAGCATAACCCCTGCAGTGTGCTTGTGGTTTGCCCCTGGGTTGGTTCACAGGGTTCTACATCACAGCCCTGGGGATGGAGGGTTGCACTCCCTGGCACGATGTACCAGGTGTTCTTGAAGAGTCTCCTGCTGCAAGGAGTCTTTCTTAAGTGGGCCTCAGGTGGTCATGTCTGCACCTGGGGAACAGGCCTACACCTGACCTGATGGTCAAGTTTCTTCTGGGGAGTCCCTGCAGAGGGGACTGCACTTGGTAGTGGAAGCTGTGACTGTTGCTGCTGGTCTGTGATGTGGAGAGGTGGTGTGTGCAACTGGTCCAGGCCTGCAGTCCTCTGAGAAGAAGCATCCATCTGAGCCCCTGTATCCTTTTGTATCCTGAGCAATCCACAGGCCAGGTGTGGGAATCTTATGTGCAGCTGGTCTGCCAAGCAGCTGACAGTCTTGTGGGGCCCTCCCAGAGCACTTCCTGTGGTGACCCCTGTGTTACTGTGAACAGATGTACAGTCTGTCCCACTTAGTCCTGACTTTAGTTCCATTGTTCCAGAAGGCCTGTGAGCCAGACAAGTGAGGTCAATGAGGACAGTGAACTCCCTTCCCCAGTGATCACTGTGGACCCAGATGCCTGCGTCCTCCCAGATACCACACTCTGCGCGTTCACTGTGCATGATGATGTCCTCGTGGCCCTGGTGCAAGGCCCTGCCCAGTGGAAGATGCAGCTGTTTGAGCGTCCTGGTCCAGGGGAGGACCGCTGGCCAGGTGGCCTGGTTGGTGAGGTGGAGTTATCCACCTGCACCCCGCCAGCTGGGGCCCCAGGGAAACTGAAATCTCCCTGCTTCCTGCCAGTGTTGTGCTGTGTGTCACCACCAGGCTCCGGGGTGCCACGTGGCCATCCCCAGGGATGTGGGGGCTTCATGTTGGAGGGGGCTCTCTTTGGGCTTCTCTTTGGAGCAGATGCCACCCTCTTAGAGTCCCCTGTGATCCTTTGTGGTCTTCCTGATGGGCAGCTCTGCTGTGTGGTCTTAAAGGGTTTGGTCACCTCCAGGTCAGCCCCTGGTGACCCAAAGGCCCTTGTCAAGATCCTCCATCACCTAGAGGAACCTGTTGTCTTCATTGGGGCCTTGAAGACAGAGCCTCAGGCTGGGGAGGCCGTGGAGAGTGTGCCGCCCTGTGAGGATGTGTACTCAGACTGTTTGGTGGCCCTTGGTCACCATGGCCGGACATTGGCCATCAAGGCCAGCTGGGACAAGTCAGGGAATCTGGTACCAGAGCTTCGAGAATACCTCCTCCCAGGGCCTGTGCTCTGTGCTGCCTGTAGTGGGGGCAGCCACCTGTACCACAGCACCCCTTCAGACCTCTGCGTGGTAGACCTGGCTCTTGGAGGTGCCCCCCTGAACTCCCAGCACCCACAGTCCGATGGAGCCCCCGGAGGCCTGCCCCCCACGCTGTGCCCTGCCAGCTTGAGCATCTGCAGTGTCCTGACGCTCTCTCTGTCATCCAGGATACCTGCAGGTATGTCTGCTAGTTTCTCTGATTTCTCCTAAGAGGTGTAGGTTTGTCCTCACTGGGTCCAGCCTAGTTTTCACGTCCTCTTGTCTCGAGGTCGAGGAACAACAGTGTGCATGCCTACTGTGGGCTCAGCATAAGGGTGGCACTCTGCCTGGGTGGGTGGACTCTGGCCCCTCGCTTGACTGGCCACTCAGTGTTTGCCCCTGGTGACCAGCATAAGCATGCTTGCCTCATTAGGTCTCAGATAACTCTGGTCAAAACTTTACATGTCCTCTGAGGGTTGGGACCCGCCCGCTTCAGCCCCTGTGTGGCTGCTAATGAGCCATTCTGGACCAAAGGAAGACGGTGTTGTGGTGCTCTCAAACTGGAGGGTGTGTCTGCCTGGTGTTGGAATGTGAGGCAGGCCACCAGCCTTTCCCCAGGACATTTTCCCCTTAGGAAGGTTTGTGAGTACACTAATAAATCTTGCCATGGTGAATATTCACTATGAAAGAAATGGTTTGAATGGGAGGTAGGGCACAGTGAATGTGGCCAGAGGTGAAAGCACCTGTGAGGTGACTGGCCTCAGTTACTTGGCCATCTGTCTTGGCAGGGTTCACGGCCAAGGTGGTACTCCGGGGGCTGGGGACAGGCAGACCCTCAGCAGAAGTAGCCTTTGTTTGTGGTGCTCCCTGGCAGCCCAGCAGCAGGGAAGAGAGCAGGCAGATTCTATGGATACGGTCAGGCTTCGAGAGGCTCCGCAGTGAGGAAATGGGATAGGCAGGGACCGAAACCCAAGGGGCACCGTTCTTTGGAAGAGCTCAGGTAGTCTTGTTCTGTGTGGCCTTGTGAAGGTCAGGCCATGCCTGACAGGTGCAGTGGCATACAGTATCCTCACTTGGCCCCTTTGCAACCTGTTCCTGTCCGTGGGGCCCAAACTCCACCATGGTGCCACTGCTGCTGTACCAAAATTCCATCTCAGGAAGTTCCCTTCAGGGTGTGAGGGCCCAGTGGGCAGCATCTCTGCCCAGTCCCCAGGGGGTGTCCTGGGCCTTCCTGGGGACCTTTTCCTCCCTTAGTGCCATGCGTCTCTGTTAGTCCTAGAGTCTGGGGCACACTGCTGAGTGTCACGGCAGCTGCCCCCCTGCCCGCTTATTTTGATGTCCACCAGGTGGCACTGAGCTCCTGGCCCTGTCTGCCAAAGGCTGCCTGATGACCTGCCGGCTAGACCTGAACTCTGAGGTGCGTGTTCCCACTAGAATGACCACAGAAAATGCAGGCCGGAAAATCAAGGAGCTTCTCTCTGGCATCGGCGATGTCTCTGAGAGGTGAGTGGTGTCTCCATCTCTGCTGTGTCTTGGATGGCGGTATTCTTGGTGTCGACAGCCCATGTGGCCATTACTTTGCCTCTGGCTCCATCAAGGCCCACAGGGCTGCATCAGAGGCTTCCAGAAGACGAGACACCCCCTTCCTGGGTAGCACCCTCGCCCCTCTTCCCTGGTGGGGGGCACCAGAGATGGAGATGCTGGTTCCTTAATGCCACCCCTATCCCCTCCCCTCGGGTCTCCTCCCTACTCCGGGTGCCACATCTGCTCTTTGCAGAGTGTCCTTTTTGAAGAAGGCTGTTGATCAGCGGAACAAGGCCCTGATGAGCCTTAACGAGGCCATGAATGTAAGCTGCGCCCTGCTTTCCAGCCGGGAGGGCCCCCCGCCCATCTCATGCACCACCACCACTGCCTGGAGCCGCCTGCAGCTGCAGGATGTGCTCATGGCCACCTGCCTGCTGGAAAACAGCAGCGACTTCAACCTGGACCAGGGCTGGACCTTGTGCATCCAGGTGCTCACCAGCTCTTCCGCCTTGGACCTGGACTCTGCTGGCTCAGCCGTCACCTACACCATCCCTGTGGACAGGCTCAGCCCTGGCAGCCAGCGTGAAGTGACACTGCCCCTGGGCCCCAGTGAAAGCGGCGTGCTCGACTTGCCTGTGACCGTGTCTTGCACACTCTTCTACAGCCTGCGGGAGGTGGTGGGTGGAGCGCTGGGCCCCTCAGATCCTCTGGAGGACCCCTTTGTGGAGGGGCAGCCCCTCGACCTCCTCCCAGAGCAGGAGGGCATCTGCCTGCCCCTGAGCAGACACACGGTGGACATGCTACAGTGTCTGCGATTCCCCAGCCTGGCCCCACCACACGCGCACATAGCTTGCCCACTCGGCCCTGCCGCTGACCTGGTGGACACCTTCCTGGAAACATGCCGTGCTCCAGGAAGTGAGCCGGCAGGCCCTGCAGCCCTGCGGGCCAAGTACCTCCCACCATCCACGGCCTCCATCCGAGTGTCGGCAGAGCTGCTCAGGGCTGCCCTGGAGGACAGTCACTCAGGTTGGTGGCTTCAGCCATAGGCCTGCAGCCTTGGGCCGCCTCTCCCTCTCCCAGTGGTTCTTGGGGCAGCTGTGGGCCTGCAGCCCTCTGAGCTCTGCCACATCCCTGATCACTGTTGCAGTCTTGTCTTGCGTTGTCCTGCCACATTTCTTTTAAATTGTGTTTCTTAAAAACTGGAAGCATGACCTAAACGCAGAAGCAGACGTGTCACCAGGGAACAGCCTGGTGAGTTTTATGGGGCTGGTATCTGGGGAGCTAGCCCCAAGGCCCCGAGGCCCACAGTGCCATCAGGACCCTCTCTGAGTTCTGAGCCTGCTGTGTCTGGCTCCTGCTCCTGCTGTGTGTGGGGGACCCTTTGTGTTGTAGGATGTGGGGTCTTGAGCCTGGAATGTGTATTTTTGTCAGTGTCACTGTTGTGCTGTCAACAGATGTTGCGCAGTTTCTGGGATTGTGCACAGGCTGTGACCATGACCACCCTATAGAGCACCCCTGCGTTCCCGCCGTAGTGGAACTGCCTCAGGACTGGCCACTCATGCTGGCGGGGCCTCCCGCACAGTGCTCAGCATGGTTCTTCCCTGCTGCCCCATGGGGACCACCTCCCTTTCCTCTTAGCCAGCCCACCTAGCACCCTTTTTGGGGTGGGGCTGAGGACAGCTGGGGCCCTGAGGTAAAACTGGGAGGGGACACGTCAGGGCGGCCACCCTGATGCTGCTGAGTAGGGCCAGCCCAAGCTCCCGCCCCTCTCCCCGCCAGGTGTCCCCCTGTGCAGTGCCACCCTGCAGTGGCTCCTCGCAGAGAATGCTGCCGTGGACATCGTGAGGGCCCAAGCGCTGTCTTCCGTTCAGGGCGTGGCCCCCGATGGCACTGACATCCACCTCATCATCCGAGAGGCAAGCAGGGGCGCAGCTCACAACCCATGGGGAAGCAGGGCTCCCCACCAGTGGTGCTGGGCAGCTCTGGGGGAGTCTGAGCAGGGCTGGCCCTCCCCACCCGGGGTCCCTTCTCTTCCCTTGAGTGCTGCTGGGCTGCGGCTGCCTGTGCCTTAGGAGCAGTTAACCCACTCGGCGCTCTGGGGAGCAAACGTGGCTCTAGCAGTCCCCACCGTGTCCCTTGCGTGCATCCCTCCTGGGACACCGTCAAAGCCTTGCATGGTGGTCCAGGCTGCCAGGACACCACTGTCCCCAAGGATGGTGGACACAGAGTCCACTTGGGATTGAGCCTGGGCCCTGCTGCCCACTGCACAGCCCTCCGGCCAGGCTGAGGCTGAGCTGTCCCTAGGCCCTGAGGCTGGCTCTGGGTGGGTGGAGAAGAGGGTTGCCAGCTCTAGGGGAGCTGGTGTGGAGAGCAAGCCAAGGCTTCTTGCTTCTCGGCCCGTCAGCAGGTGCAGTCAGGGTTCTGGGGCTGTGTGTGGCTGGCCCTCCGACAGGTCCACAGCTGGGTTCACGTGATAGCTAACCCCTGGTGTCACATGGGCCATGGCTTGCAGGTGGGGTGGGGCAGCCTTCAAGGCCACGGACAGTCCAGATGCCTGGCCGCAGCTTGAGAGGAGGTTCCCGGCTGTCCCGAGGGCCCCATTTTGTGTCTGCGTCCAGACAGCACGTTTCTTGCCATGGGCTCTTGGCTGGGTGTCCCGTCCAGGGCCCTTTGCCCCAAGCCCTGCCTGCCTGCAAGATACTGAGGGGCATCCCAGGCCAGGGTGGGGAAGGGGCTGCCAGCAAGGACTCGTGTGTTGCAGGTGGCCGTGACTGACCTATGCCTGGCAGGGCCCATCCAGGCTGTGGAGATCCAAGTGGAGAGCTCCTCTCTGGCCGACATGTGCAGGGTACACCATGCCATCATCGGACGCATGCAGGTAGGGAAGTTGCTATGGCCCAAGTGGGGGAGAGGCAGGGTTGTGGGCTGCTTTGAGCACTCGAGGCTGCAGGTGGCATGGTTTGCAAGGGGTCGCAGGAGGAAGCACTGTGTGGACAGCTGCAAGGTGCCTCTCCGACAGGCAGATGCTACCTTCCAGAGTTGCCCCTGCCCCCAGTATCCCTTGTCCAAGCCCTGCTTGAGCCCATGTGTGGATGGATTTGCACCTCCTCGTTCACTTCCCCTGGCTGAGTGGGGGCTGGATGGAGAGACCAAGCCCAGCCACGGGTCCCAGGCGAGGAATCTGTCCACCTGCTCTGAGCACAGTGAGTGGCCCTGGGGGTTCCTGGGGCAGGAGCAAGCCGCTTTGGTGTGGCACCCCAGTCCTGCCAGCGCCCAGGGGACCACTGCTCCACCTGCTGTGGCTGTGTGCAGCCTCAACCTCTCCTAGAGCTTGTCGCCCTCCCTCTCACTGCTTGGACCTGGTGGCTGCTGGGCCCCACGGTGTCCCAGGATGCGTCTGTCATGAAGGGAGGCCCTGCCCAGGCCAGGCAGGTGTGTTAGCTCCCATCAGAGCTCAGAGTTATTTGCGACTCCCACATGATTCCACTTGATGCCGTGCCCTGACCCCAGCCATCGTGAGCTGGAAGCTCATCCTATGAGGTGCTCATGGTGCAGTACAGATTTCATCCCTGGACATAGGAGTCCGGTCCTGACATTGTTATCTGGCAGGGTGGTGTCCAGGGCAGTGGTGCCATGTGTCAGAAGTGGCTCCACCCATAGGGCCATACAGTCCCCAAGAAAGTTCTATCACCTGTGGCTAGATTTTTCTTTCTTTTTAATATTTTTTGAGGCAGAGTCTCCCTTTATAGTTCAGGCTGGCCCTGAACTCACTATGTATCCCAGGCTTGAACTCCTGGTGATCCTCCTGCCTCAGCCTCCCAGCTGGGATTATAGACGTGCACCATCAGCTCGGACAGATTTTTTTTCTTATAGGGATAATATCATATGGAGTAGGGCCACCCTATTGACCTCATGCTGGCCATCTACAGAGACCCCATTTCCAAATACAGTTGGATTTGGGGGTACTGAGGTTAGGACTCCCACACGTAAATCAGCTCTGACAGTCACATGCAGTTGCTCCACGGTTGGGAATCGGCACAACTGTGGTGACACCAACATACACTGTCAGCACAGCTCAGATGGGCAACTTCTATGAGCCAGCACTTCCTGGAGTCCCAGGCTAGCAGGTGGTCCTTGGGTGGCAGCTTTACTGAGGTCCTCGTCCCTGGTAAGCTGACAGGGCCTTACTGGCCATTTGGCAAACTGGGTTGCCTTGAAGGAGTGGAGCAGGCGGCCAGTCCCATGTGGGGCTGCTGGGTGGACCAGCAGCTGGGCTGGATTGCCCTTCAGCTGTCTGCCTTGAGGCCAGAGTGGGCAGTGAGGATGTGAGCTTGGATGTGAGCAGGGAAGGGCTAGGACTAGCAGAAGGTTTGCTTACCTTCTAAGTAACCATCCATGGGCCCCTGAGTGGGACAGTGAGGGGTGACAGAGGTGTGATGCAGTCACTGGGCATGGGGACCCAGATGGAGAGCTTGGGGCACATGGAAGGGGTCACCTGCTCTGCACACGGGGACAGGACCTCCAGACACAGGCTCCCACCTCAGGATTGCCCCCCCCAACCCCCGTGTCCCCCAGACGATGGTCATGGAGCAGGCTGCCCGGGGCTCCAGCCCACCTGACCTCCGCGTACAGTATCTCCGCCAGATCCACGCCAACCATGAGGTGAGCGTCCCTGTCTGCGCCCTGTGCACAGTTCCTGGAGGATGCCAGGCAGGGCAACCAGGTGCTCGAGTGGGTGGGTCACAGCTGCTCTGTGGCTCTTGCCCCATCTGTTCCCAGCCGTACCCTCCTGGCTGTGCATCCCATATTTCAGGCCACAGCCCAGTGTTCTCCCTTGGACCTCCCAGGGGTGGGGCAGCCCCAGAGGGTGCAGGGTCTGAACTGTGTTGCCTGCAGGTGCTGTTGCGTGAGGTGCAGACCCTGCGTGACCGGCTGTGCACAGAGGATGAAGCCGGCTCCTGTGCCACAGCCCAGCGGCTCCTCCAGGTGTACAAGCAGCTGCGCAGCCCCAGCCTTGTCCTACTGTGAGCAGGTGGGTGCCAGCCTCCATCCTCCCTTCCTTGGCCCATGGTGATAACCCAGAGCCAAAAGTCTGTTCTCTCAGTCCCTTGCTTAGGAGGCCTGTGCACCCTCACCCCTCCATTCCTCCTGCAGCTGCTGGACCACTTCTCACCGCAGGGCGGCTTCTCTTCCTGCTGAGCCGGCCGTGCACAGGATGTTCCACCAGGCACTGGACCGTGATCGGGACCACTACTGGCCCTGTGGGAAGGCCATGGAGACAGTTTCTGGGGTTGGGATTGGGCGTTTGTGACTGTGTGGTCCCTGCTGCTCCCGCCATGTCCCAGGAGCACCAGTGGCCCCTCTGGGGCTAAAAGGAGGGAAGGTGTTCCCTGCAACCAAAGCACAAAGCCCTACCTGCTGCGCCGTGCAGGGGTGTGTGGCCTGTGGCCAGAAACTCAGCAGCAAGGGGCCCACAGCTGGGGCTGTGCCTAGCACTGTGCTCTCTTCAGGGTCACCTGGGGGTGGGGCCGTGGCCCATCTGCAGCCTGTCCTTGGCCTGGTGCTGTTTTTACTACTGGGGGTGACTGTGTATCTGGAGCCTGCGGTGCTCCATGCCCACTCCTGCTGTGAGCCGTCTGTGTTGTGCAAGGTGCTCTGCTGACAAGCGACCCTTTTGGTTGAGTCGAGGCCTTGGCTGTCTTTTACGCCTTCCTACTTTCAGGCAGGCAGCAGCCGGCCCCCTCACAGGCTCCACGGGGCCCTTGATGGCTGCTGCCCTCCCAGTGCCCGCGTGGTAGAGCCCTCTCACCTGGGGAAGAAGGCCCTCGAGATGCTCTGGATAAGGGGTCCCCCTTGCAGCACCCAGCTACTTGGCTGCCCGCTGTCCAGGGCTGAGGGTCTGGAGAACAAGCCCAATGGCTTCCTCCTAAGGGCCCTGTCCACAACTGGGGGCCACTCCTATCGCTTCCCAGGGGGAGCCTCTGGCTCCAGCTGTTACCCAGTGCTCATGCCCATATCTTGCTCAGAGCACCTCTGAGCAAAGCAGCATGTAGAAGCTAGGACAGCACATGGGGTGGGCAGAGCCCGTGTCCACCTACCTTGGAGGAAGTGCCCTGTCTTAGGCTGCTGGTTGCTGCAACTCCCAGGCCCCCACTGGCCACTGCAGCCTGCAAGATCCCAGGGCTGAGAGACCTAGGCTCCTTGTAGGGCCGACTCCCAGACCCGCAGGTGCCAGCTGGTCTGAGGAGTCAGCAGACCTCCCAAGGGTCCACAGTGCCCACCAGCTTCCCGCTGCTGGCACTGACGACTCCGGAGCCGAGTTGAGCGCCTGGCTGTGCTGCCCCTGTTGCTATTCTCTGGGGCGCCTGCTCTTAGGAGCCCTAGTGGAGCGGCCACGTGGTTCCGGGCTGGCTCCACCTGCTGGCCAGGCACCTCACCAGCCCCTGCCTGCACCGCTCTTAGCTGACACTAGGGGATACTGTAAGCCACTGACAGCCTGGGCTTCTGGACCCTGCTGGACACTTGGCCCTTGGTGTCACAGCCGCTCCTCTGGAGAAGCCAGGAGCTGCTCCTTCCTCGTCCCCACGTAGAAGGAAAGTCCCTCTTGCCCACCCCGGATCCAGGTTCGGTAGCCCCTTCCTGCTTGCTCAGTCGGCCCCATTCCATCCCCGGATCCCTACCACTCACTGGGTGGTGCCTGTCCTGGGCAGCAGGACTGCAGGAGGGGACAGCGCCCAGACTTGGAAGGGGCTTCCCAGGTCAGCCGGGGTAGGGAGCTCCGGTTTCAGGGATGAGCTGTACGCCTAGGCCAGGAGGCCTGTGTGTGCTGGGGTGGGGGTCCCAGGGGTTCACCTCACCACTCTGCAGTGCCAAGAGTATAACCTGCGCTGACAAAGTTTAATGCGGGGCTGGCGGGCCCTGCGCCCTGTGAGTGTCTGGTCCTCGCCCCCTGGCCCTCAGTACTCCCAGAGCGCCTCCGCGGTGGGCATGTCGGCGTCGGCACGCAGCAGTCCTGAAGCCCCGCCGCGCAGATACTTTCCGCTTCGGGCTCGGATGGCCAGGCGCCCAC